AGAGAGAGAGAGAGAGAGAGAGAGAGAGAGAGAGAGAGAGAGAGAGAGAGAGAGAGAGAGAGAGAGAGAGAGAGAGAGAGAGAGAGAGAGAGAGAGGAGAGAGAGAGAGAGAGAGAGAAGAGAGGAGAGAGAGAGAGAGGAGAGAGGAGAGAGAGGAGAGAGAGGAGAGAGGAGAGAGAGGAGAGAGGAGAGAGAGAGAGAGAGAGAGAGGGGAAACATGATAATATGAAGGGTGGATGAATGGACAGGCGGAGAATTAGTTAAATTAATAAATTAATAAATGGATAAATGGTCCCCTAGATTTACAGATAAACATAGATTTGATTTTGGGAATGGGCCAGTGTACAAACTGGACAGGTGAGTGTATGAAAAGATTGATCAAGAATCAAGTTATACAGAGGGTAACTAAGTACCTAGATGCAAAAATAAATACTCCTTGCTACTTCCAAGTTCTAGTTCACCATTGAGCACTGCCAATGTGAGCAGATGGTTTTGAATCTTGTTTGCAAAACACATATTGGCACATGTTTCCAATACAGGAGTAAAATCTGTCCACATAATGACATCACTGAGTACTGGACATGAAGGGGTGTACTAAAAATACCATGAATAAACAAAGAAAAAGAAACTTGCAATACAGATTGAAAAGAGAAAGACACTAAACAAGTATATGTGAAATTCAAATAGAGCATCATCATCAAGAAAATTAATAAAAAGGGCATTGTCTTTATGTAATTTATCTAATAAAAAGCACAACAGCTTTAGAAATATTAACACAGATCAAGAAGCACTTTTTACCTTTATGGTATAAAGCATTAAAGCAAAGACAGATCAAGCAATATGCTGCAATTAATAAACATATCTGTATTTTCCCTAATGAAACCATCACCTCAAGCTCTTTAGTATTCTTGAAGTAACTCATTTGTTTTCCAAATACATCAATGTTAATAAATAACTGTAGTTTATTAGTAGTTGCAAGAGTCATAGTTTAAAACAGTTATATACACAGATGTGATTTCCTGTATGCAAATGAGATATTTCAATTTTTTGGAGAAAGAATATTTTACAAATTAAATGTTTAAATCTATGTATCTGTCTAATGTTGGAAAATTAATTTGAAAACTATGTTGGAAATGAGTTATATTTCATTGTAAAAGCATCTGCTCCAAATCAGAGATGAAAACTAAAATCACTAGATTGTAGAGGCCACTGGCAAATACAAATGCAAAAAAAGCATTGTTAAATATTAGCCATGCACTACACTACAAAAAAGTACCCATTCTATCTAAATATACAGCAACCATATAAATACCATTCTGCATGTCTCGGTCACATCCTTTCACACTAGGTTTCTAGAATCACTACTTCCAAAATTCTTATATTATAAAAAGTACTCTCCATACCTTCCCCTCTGCAATGGACATATTCTACAGGATTGATAGATACCACAAGTACTGATGAGTTTATATATCATCACAGCCTTTATTGTATACCAACATCCACACTGAAGTTGTAAGTACCCTGAGAGCATTATGCACTGTAAAGAATTCATTATCACAGATGTTAATAAAAGAAACTCAATAAAAGCAAGGCTAACTGTTCTGTTTAAATGGAAAATCACTGATATATAATGCCACTAATAAATAAATATATCTGCATTACATGCCATTACTGAAATAAACATGATTATCATTCATTGCTGCAATAAGAATCACATAACAAATAGCCAGCAATTAAGAGTGAAACCACTATATACATACAGGTTTACATTTTGAATTTAGAATTGATGAATATCAGCTTATTTGGTAAATTTAGATGGCAAATTCAGATTAAACTACAATGCCAAACAAACAAATCAATGTTATCAATAACAATGATTCTAAAACTTGACATCTTGCTATCAAGAAAAATGTGTTTTATTCTTTTATCTAATTATCTATGGGTAGAATGTCTCCATGATATAAAGTGTTATGCATTCTCTATCTGACTTTAGTTCAGGTTTAATCAAACTGTACACTGATAACCCAAAACTCTTTTTATTTCAATCTCAGTCTCTTAATATCCTGCATGCCTTGCTTTACAAGAGTTTACTGTATACCTTGTTAATAAAGAAAGAAATTTACCCCATATATAGTACATCAAAGGCCCAGAATAACTACAAGTAATATCACAGAAATACCCTGACTTGTGTCACATAAATAAAAGATTAAGCTATACCACAAAAAATACAGAGAACAGTAAATCTAACCATCTTTTTATACCCATTACTTCAGTAAATCAATTTCAGGATCATACATGATATATGACACTAAGCATTACATTAAATAATTCTCACTCAGATGGTGAGAAATAAAAATGTCATCTACAGACTTGTTCTTAGAGAGAGAAAGAGAGTAAGGAAAGTAAAATTACTATTTCCATAATGATTGGCTTAACATTCATAATCCCCAAATCATCAAAACCAGTACATAATCAAACTTTAACCATCATCCTTAAAACATACAGGTCTTCCTTGCTCTGAAGTTCCAGATTTCTTTGTGGGAGAGTCCGTTGGTGGTAAAAAACTGGAAACAAGAAAATCTTATTAATATTCAAAGCAAAAAATCAATCAAAAAAATTGTTCTTCTGTAATGTACTCTCACAAGGATAACATGAGCTTCGAAATATATAATGAAAATAATCAAATGAGAGTCACAGTATGAAATGAATCATTAAGTAGGTAAAGCAAAGTTCACCTCCCAATAATTCTAATTTAAACTGAATATTGCTTTTTGATATCAATTAATCTACCGTGTTCTTAACTACATACCATTCCCTTCGTAACTTTATATCAATTTTCATATGCATTAATAATGTAAGAATATGAGAAAAATACAACTGATTCTTACCTTGATGTTGATGATTTAAGCCTGGCAAGTTCTACAGCAATCTGTGCACCTGCCTTGGCATTATTTTTAATAAGAGCAATATCTGATTCTATTAAGGAAAGTAACAGTAAATAATAATCTGTCAACAATTTCACTGTATAAATCAAACTTGAGTTGCTTAGCAAATCATCAAGACCTATTCCAACAGAAGTAGTAAGGATGTCACATGCTTAATGACACAGCCTTAATGACACATGCTAGAAATAGTTGCGATCCCAGTCAATTTCATTCACTAATGCATAACAGGATCATAATAAAAACAAAGAGTAAAAAAGCTAGCATTAACCACAACTAAAGCAATGATAAAAAAAATCCAAAATATAAAAACTGGATGTGATTGCAAACAGCCAGTAACTGACCACAAGAAAATGTAGAAAATAGCAATCTGAAACTGAGTAAAAGCACAAGAATAAAACACACCAGGCTATCTATTCACAAAAAATCAAACAAATTTTGGCACTGATCATCTGGAAAAGCATGATTTTCTCAGAGAAAGACTTCACTCACTATTGTGTGTGCAAATGCAACTCTAGACAGTTCAGTACACCACAACTAAAGTGTTGTATAATAGTATCGTCAATGAACAAACCAAATCATCTTTCTGGACAATAAAACATAAAAAAGAACACAGAATTGCAAGTAAGCATACTTACGGAGGAAAAGAAGAAAAATATCAACCCTTTACCAGGCAAGATAATTTTTTTCTTACTTTCGATGGGCTCTAAAGATGGCAGCCTAGCATCACCAAAAATTTTAGAAAATGTGGTGTAATTCTCTCTAGCAAATCAGTGACAGCCATCTCTTCCAGTGGCAAATAGGGTGTTGTGTGACAACTCGAGAGACCTAAAACCTGTCTTTTGATTGGATGTGAAATGCACTGCTAAGCTCCATCCACTCCTGTGAGATAATGGTAAATACCTTTTGATATCTTATGCTAAGTTGTGGTGAGTTACAAGACAACCAATTTAAGTACGAATATGCATGAAAATAATCAAGGTAGAATAAATCTAACCTAACTCCACAGATGTTTACCACGCATTCAATTCCTGTCACATGAGAGCTGTTGCGTAGACCATTACTGTCGGAGAAGATGGCTTAGCTAGATGGTATTCACAACCTAAAGATTGGCTGATGAACTCCCAGAAGTCGAAAACGAAGGATATTTCACACTGACTATCCCAAATATCCCTGGCTCATTCTCTTCAAAATAAATAAGTAACTAAATGAAATATTTCTAATCTATAGATAAGTGTATCAGTTTTTTTGGTACATTATGAAATTTGTGAAAAGTCAGATTTAAACAAGGACCCAATTCATGGAACAAGCTCATCATGGGTCAAGTGACCTAATTAGTTCAAATGACAATTCATAGGTCTAAGTGTATATTTTGCAATGAGAACATATGTGAACAAATGCTATTTCATAAAATCAAGATATACTTAGGGATATTGTAATCAAAATATCGTAAATCAATATTTAAATCATTCCAAGGCTTCTAAATCACTTATGTCGTGTGTAATTATCCAAGAATTAAATTTTCTTTCAACAATTACTATTGTAATGGTATATAAATATCGAATGCATTATGCTTATATGCTCAATATTATTCATTTATAAAAATAAAAAATATCTCAATTATGATTTATAATTATATCAATTACTGCACATTCCATCATCATCATTATTTCACATGCACACACACACACACATACACACACATCATACACACACACACACACACACACACACACACACACACACACACACATACACACACCACATACACATATGCACACACACACACTGCCACACTACACCCACACACCACACAACACTACACACACAACCACACACCACACACACCCACACACACAACAACACACACACACACAACAACACACATGCACACACACAAACACACCACATACACATACACAACACACTAACACATATGTACACAACACACACATACACAATCCACACACACACACACACATCACACACACACAGCACACATATGAACACCACACACACACACACTACACACACACACACACACACACTACACACACTCACACAACACACACACACACACACATAACACACACACACACACACACATACACACACACACACAAAACACACACAACACACACACACACACACACACACACACACACACACACACATGATATCAGCATAGCACACACACACACATATGCACAAACAACACATACACACACACACACACACACACACACACACACACACACACACACACACACACACACACACACACACACACACACACACACACACACACACACACACACACACACACACACACACACACACACACACACACACACACACACACACACACACACACACACATATATACACACACACACAATGATGTCAGCATGCACAAAGATATCAGCACACACACACTGATATCAGTGATAACAACCTGGATGAGGATATTGGTGATATTTACTTTCTGCCACGACCTTCATCCCAAGGTATCCTCCCAAGGTCTGTAGTAGTCTATTAAACTTAAAAGGAGGAGGACTAGGATGGCAACAATGAGAAACCTGCGACTCCAAAAAGACCTAGGCTATAAGGTGGCAAACGAAAGACATCCAATACCAAGCCCTGCACGAGTATGAGCACATCCCTCCTAGGCTGATGTTGCCTTTCAAGGATTACTTTTTTAGGATTTGCACTCCATAGATGGTGGAACATACCATCTTTCAAATGAACCTCAATACAAAACAGAAAGATGGGAGGATAAACTCCAAGACCATAAAGAGGAAGTTCTGAACCTCACTGACATCCCTTTCTAAGTAAGCACCACCTTGGGGGCCAAGGGACCAGCCAGCAAGATCGTGGTAGCCCTGATGAGTAACATCACCATGGCCTCCACTAATAAGATCTTTCCAGATAACTACTTCAGCAGCCTGAAGATTGTCTGCTACCTGAAAAGCTCAATACTGTCCCGTCAAACATCTCCAGTGGGGGGGGCAAGGTGTACTTCTGACTGAACAACAAGAGGAGGAAACAGAGCCTAATAGCATGGCCTAGTCATTTGTTCCTAAATAAGACTATTTTTTTAGTTTATCATGAAAATTATACTTAATAAGCATAAATCTTATTTCTTAATAAAGCTGTGACAGAAGGAAAAATGTATTTTTATTTCTATGTCCATATTTTTTCTTACACCTATATAATAAAAAGTAACATTAGATGGGCAAATTCATTACTTTGATCACTACTATTATATAAATTTTGCTATCCTTTCCAACAAGTTACTGTTTCTGGTTACTTCATCTACCATAATCTACCACTAAAAAAAAGGCAATTCCAAAAAAAGTAATGTGAATAAAAATGTCTTAGAATATCTTGCAGTTTCATTTTCTAAAATTCAAAGTATTTCTATGACTGCCCAATAAAGACATGAATAAAGTATAAAGCACAACTAGAATTTTGGATGACAACAAAGCAAAAATGGTCTGTTTATGGAAAACAACAAATTATAACACAAAAATAAGAATAATGATAAAGAAAAACAGAGAATTACAACAAAAGAGGAATAGCTTGATCAAAGCAAACAAATAAGAAAATTAACCAAGAGGAATAAACATAAATATTCACATTATTTATCTATAAGGCAAAAAAACAAAACAAATCTCTATATATCACCAAAAGGATACTCGACTTGAGGCTCTGTCCTCCTGTGATCTCAAAGACTCTCTGGAGAATAAATGGAGTCACTTCCCTCCCAGACACTGCTAACTCTGCCTCCTTCACTGCTATATCTGTCAGGGGGTTTATAACATCCAGGGAAAGTTCCTTACTATGTTTTTTTATATATGTAAAGATGTATGAGTCTATGTAGAGGCTAATGAATGAAAAATTCTTCAAATTAAAGTATATAATCATTAAAATCCACTTAAGAGGATACAAACTCAGAGATAATGTAAACAAAAGATTTTGTTTTTCACAAAATTGCTTTAAACAGCTAAACATGCAATCAAACTGTAATGCCGACTTATAGTATTTGTATTTGCAGAAGAATTAGAAAAATTGGAAAGCTCTGTCTTTCACATTTCTGGAATGCTAGTCCCATTGAATGCTTTTTAAAAGATACAGAAATCTTTGAGAAAGGAATATATGGATGGATCAATAACAACTAATAGAAAAAAATCCCTAAAGGAGTTTTACGTGAGTCAGAAAAATTGCTTAACTTTCTTATGGACAAAGAGACCTCAAAAGAAAGAATTACCAACCAATTGCTTCTTTAATGAGTTTCCCCTCAGCCTGGTGTTCCTCTGGTATGGGTACAGCAATCAGCATTCCTGAGTTTATCTTCATCTCCTGCCACTTATTCATCATGTGAGCTGCCATGAGAGGGGTTTCAACATGACATGGGGCTTTGCATCCACTGTCTCGAGTAAAGAAATCAGGGAATCGGTTGTCACTTCCTAGCACTGACACACATACACCTGGAAAAGTAATGTATGTTAGGGTAGGTTACCTTTTATCTGAAAATTAATTCTTAAAATATCACTTGTATTTTGGAAGGTATATTCAGTGCATTAAAACTGGTGAAAAAGAATTCAAGGATGATAAGGTTTATACTTCCATGCTCTTTGGCATAATTATAGATATTGTGTAATCACACAGATATACAAACCCTGTGTCTCTAAATACTCCAGAGTCTTTTCTACATCTAGAATGCTCTTCACTCCAGCTGAAACAACTGCAACAGGAGTGCGACCAAGTTCTGTCAAGTCTGCCGAAATGTCCAGTGTGTTTTCAGCTCCTCTGTGAACACCCCCTATGCCACCAGTCACAAAGACTGGAATTCCAGCATGGTGTGCAACAAGCATCGTTCCTGATACTGTTGTGCCTCCATTTAGACCCTGTTGTAAAAGAATTAGTATCTAATACATTTCAGATTTTATGGAAATTACTTCAGGATGCAAAGTAAGTACTTTGGAATTTATCACAATTCACCACCTTTAAGGAGTTTGAAAATATATATACATATCTTTTTCAGTAAAGGGTTGCAATGACAGATTAAAAAACTAAATTCAACAACTATCAGTCCTAACACCTTTGCTAAGACAAAGGGAAAATCTCTTCTTGATGTCTTAACACAAGGCTCCTTCTTCTCAGCAAGGGTCTCTAACTCGACTGCAGACAAACCCACATGAACTTGTCCCCGTAATATAGCTATAGTTGCTGGGACTGCACCCTATAAAGAGTAAAATCTGATGTTAAAAACAATGATCACAGGTATGTTCCTATGTTTATCCATAATTCAATAAAAATTATCTTTTTTCCATTTCAAGTGATTTAGCATGAGTCATGGTGATATCAATAGACTGTTGAATTAAACATTGCCTTATGAAAATCACAAAGTAATATTCTGATAAAATTTACAACTAAATGTCACTATCGTGAATTCTATTAGTTCCTCATCAAAATATCATATATTGGTAATTTTCTTTTCTACATTGGTGAAGACTTTTTAAACATCTTATCACTTATTTTTTTTTTTTTAAATAAACAAACAAAATGATACAATTTTCAAGAGATAAAAATATAACTCGGTCTATTCAAAAAGATATCAATTCAACTGCTTACTTCTTTCCTAATAATTTGTTCAACCTCTACAGCTGTTTCCAAATTCTGAGGATAAGGCATGCCATGGGTGATGATAGTGGATTCTAGTGCCACAACAGGTTCTTGAGCTGACAATGCCAATTCCACCTCACGGCTCACAGCTAGGATGGATGACTTGTTGCGAAGATTGTACCTGTGGATAAAGTGCAACAGGTTGAAACAGAAAAGTTTCTTGCCTTAAAGACATTATTGGTTTGCAATCATTTGGTGTATATATAGTGTGTGTAAATGATAGATTATACCAAAGAGGAAAACAAGGCTGCACATGCTTCTTTATCAGTATAGAATCTGTTACAAAAGCATCAGACATCACTTCATACTAGAATATATAACATCTGTGGTGATGTCTACAGTATCCTAAAACCACTTTTCTTCTTCCGCATAGCATTTACCTGCAATGCTGCAGCTGTACTTATCTGGACAGCTTTTATCTGTTCAACATATTTAAAAATCATTTATTCAGCTAAAAGGCTATTTGTACCCATTTGTACTCACTCTACACAGTCTGAGTGGAGTTACTACTTACTGAAGTGAGTGACAGCTGGAAAATCATAGCTAAAAGAGAGTTATATTTCATCTATGGGGCTTGCTGGCACTGGGTAAGAAATTGGCAAGTGGCTGACATTATGAGTTGTCAATGATTTGTATGCTTGTCAGAGCATACAGAAAATTTTTCAGAATGATATTTTTTTACATGCATGAAATATACAATAAGAAGAATTACAGTACTTGGTACTTGAGTATGTGTATGTGTATGTGTGTGTGTGTTCTTACCTAGTTGTTCTTACCTAGTTGTTTGAATACGAGAGAAGACCTATGCTCAGGTGGTCCCGTCTGCTATATTCAAATTATCATTGGCACACACTACTTGATTGGGGAGACTGTTCCACGATTCAATAATTCTGTTTGGGAAACTATATTTTTTGACATCTTTATTACCTCTTTTTACTGTCAACTTTTTGTTGTGTCCTCTCGTTCTTCTTGTGTTCAAGATCAAAAAGTCATCCTAATCTATCTTCACTCTTCCTGTAATGCAGTTGACAAGCATACTCATGTCCCCCCTTTTCCTTCTTTCTTCCAAGGTAGTAAGTCCTAATTTCTGTAGTCTGTCTTCGTAACTCAGATCTCTTAGGGTAGGTGCCCATCTTGTCGCCACTCTTTGGACTCTTTCCAGTTTGTCAATATCTTTTTTTTAAGTGTGGACTCCATACCACTGCACCATACTCAAGACTTGGGTCTTATGATTGCTTTAATGGTCTTCTTTACCATATCTTCATCCACATACACGAATGCCCTCTTCATGTTGGCAATCAGTCCTAACATTTTCTGGACCTTTTCATTTATATGGTCATTTGGATTTAGGTTTCTATTTATGATTATCCCAAGATCTTTTTCCCTGTCAGCTGTGTCTAATACTACTTTCTCCAAACCTGACTACGTGGCATTTATTGGTATTGAATTCCATTTTCCATGTACAACTCCACGTGAATAAGTTCTCAATGTCACTTTGGAGGCATCGGCATGAGACGTTGTCTGCTATCCTCTTTTGTATCTTTGCGTCATCTGCAAACATATTCATATAACTACCTGGGCTTTTGTTTTGACTCTAAATCATTGACGAAAATAGTAAACATAATCGGCGCCAACACCGATCCTTGAGGCACTCTGCTGGTTACTCGTCGCCATGTAGAATGCTTTCCTCTAATTACTGTGCTCATTTGTCTTTCATGAAGAAAGTCTTTCATCCATGCAAGGAGGTTGCCTTTCACTCCACCTAGGTGCTCTAATTTCCATATTATTCTTCTATGAGACACCTTACCAAAAGCCTATATAAAGTCCAAATACACACAATCCACCCAGCCGTCTCTTTCTTGTAATATTTCAGATACTCTATCATAAAAACAGAGGAGATTTGTTACACACAACCTTCCTTCTCTAAAACCAAATTGTTTATTTGATATTATTTTGTGTTTTTCAAGCATTTCAACCCATTGTTTTCTAATTATTCTTTCTAGCAGTTTGCATACTACACTAGTTAATGAAACTGGTCTATAATTTAGTGGGTTTTGTTTGTCACCGCTCTTATATAACATTTGCGAATTTCCAACTTTTTGGTAGTTTACCTTGTCTTAGTGAATTTTGGAATATTGACAATAAAGAAGTACACAGTTCTTCGGCACATTCCCTAAGAACCCAGTTAGAAATTTCATCTGGTCCCTCTGCTTTGGTCTTGTCTAATCCTTTTAGTAGATCTTTTATTTTGTTCTTTTTGAGGGTGATATTTTCAATGTTCTTTACATTTGTACGGGTATTTGCCATATCAAAGCATGGATCCTGAACAAACACTGACTGAAATTTCTCATTTAGGATTTCGCACATTTCTTCCTCCTTAGAATATATAATGTTATTGTCTTTGATGGCACTAATTTGATCCCTAATTTTAGTTTTACTATTTATGTAGTTAAAGAAGACTTTTGGTTTTCTTGTACATTTGTTGATTATATCCTTTTCAAAGTCTAATTTCGCCTCTCTAATGGTCTGGGTATAATTACTCTTCCTACTTTATATCTTTTATATGCTGCCTGAGATCTATGCCTTCTGAATCTTTTCCAAAGGAGATGCTTTTTTTCCCTCATTGTTGTTGCGTGTGTGTGTTGTGTGTGTGTGTTGTGTGTGTGTGTGTGTGTGTGTGTGTGTGTGTGTGTGTGTGTGTGTGTGTGTGTGTGTGTGTGTGTGTGTGTGTGTGTGTGTGTGTGTGTGTGTGTGTGTGTGTGTGTGTGTGTGTGTGTGTGTGTGACACTAAAGTTTCACATGTAACTATCCTAACTCCGAGTAAGTTTGAGGCATGTTGAATAATAAAAACAATATCAGATATAATATATTTAAGCATATAATCAATAACTAGATGAGAAACTGCACACAACAGAAGCAATAGATAAAATAGCAATAATACTGATAATATTAGGTACGAATTTTTCTTAATGCACATAGGTCTGAGACAGAAAAATCTATATGCAAACATGTACACACAAGTAGGATTATGGAACTTCCTCCCACTTACAAAAAAAGGCTGAAAAAAAGAAGACGTAAACAATCATCACCTTCCTACTGTATAAGGTCGGAGAGTTTGGGAGCCCATCAAGGCACGACTAAATTTCATAAACTGGAACATGATACTTGATCACAACTGCAGAAATATTATGCTAAAAAGTAATAAAACTATCATACATACAGGTAATTAATATATGCTAAATACATCTACATACATATACATGTATATACATGTATATACATTTATATACATCTACATACATATACATGTATATACATTTATATACATCTACATACATATACATGTATATACATATATTCTATATACATATACATGTATATACATACATCTACATACATATACATGTATATACATTTATATTACATCTACATACATAAATACATATACATAATATATATAATATATATATATATATATATATATTATATATATATATATATATATATATATATATATATATATATATATATATATATGTATACACACACTAATGTGTGTGAATATGTGTAAGTGTGTGTGTGAGTGTGAGTGTGAGTGTGAGTGTGAGTGTGAGTGTGAGTGTGAGTATGTGTGCGTGAGTGTGCGTGAGCATGAGCATGAGCGTAAGTGTGAGTGTGAGTGTAGGTGTGGGTGTGGATGGTGTGAGTGTATGTGGGAGTGGGAGTGGGTGAGGGTGAGGTGTGGGTATGGGTATGAGTGTGGGTATGAGTGTGGGTATGTGTGGTGTAGGTGGTGTGGGTGGAGTGTGGTGAGTGTGTGGTGTGAGTGTGAATGTTAGTGTGAGTGGGTGTAAGTGTGAGTGTGAGTGTGAGTGTGAGTGTGAGTGTGGAGTGTGGGTGTGGGTGTGGGTGTGTGAGTGTGTGAGTGTGAGTGTGAGTGTGAGTGTGAGTGCGAGTGTGTGTTGCGTGCGTGTTTGTGCGGTGTTGCATGTGTATGTGAGTGTGCATGTGCATGTGCATGTGCATGTCATGTGTGTGTGTGTGTGTGTGTGTGTGTGTGTGTTGTGTGTGTGTGTGTGTGTGTGTGTGTGTGTGTGTGTGTGTGTGTGTGTGTGTGTGTGTGTGTGTGTGTGTGTGTGTGTGTGTGTGTGTGTGTGTGTGTGTGTGTGTGTGTGTGGTGTGTGTGTGTGTGTGTGTGTGTGTAAATTCATCATCACTTATGCCTTCTATCTTCCCTACTGCTAAAACAGTTCTTTTAAAGACTTATTCTGACTTGAAAAATTATGACACCAAATGCTATACTTTCACTGGTCATCAAATAGAAGACCAGCAATTAATAAGCATTATCAAACATAGTAAAATTAATATTATCTTCAGTCTTTATCATTAAACATTGTGCTTTACTGAATTGCCTAGATAAATAACTTGACCTTTGATTTGATATTCTGAAAGAATTAGAACTTTCATCATTTACATAATTTCATGTCACCATTTTTCATATCCCTAGCATGTTCTTCTATTGAGCGAATGCATAATATCCTTATCTGGGCATCTATATATGAATAGTAAACATTTAAATAGTAAATACAGTTTTCACCAACAAATGAACTGCCTTTGTTAGTATAAATTCCTTTTTATGGCATAAATATTATAAAAACAACTTTCTGTATAATCAGATTTTAGGTATTTTTCAAGGATCAGCTAACTGTATATACTTGTTACATAGAAAAAAATGGTACAGGTCCAGCTCCATCATATCAGATAGAATTATGAGAAGCATGTTAATACTGAGACCTATCCTTACCAATATAACAATTCCTCCCACACTGCCAAAGTTTATATCTAAACTACATTTGCAAAGGTACTTGTACAGGACAGTAATTGAGAATAGCTACTATTATGCTTTATCAAACAGAGGAAAGATGAAATATTTCATGTAACGAAATTGAAGTAACCCGATTGCTTTTCTCATGTTAGGCCTAATATAGTGTTATGAGCTTGAGCATTAAATATCTATTTTGTCTTTAAGTTGTCCTGTGCTTCAGATTCATTCCTCATCTGCTATGTTACTATTTAGCTGTTACAAACATAAATAAGATATACAAAACAATTCTAATATCAAGAAAAGTAACCATCAGAATCTCTTGTCATCCAACCTGAGTGATCCTTGAATCGGTTGTTACTAGGTGCACCTGACCTCCGCGCACGTGGACCTTGCGTGTCAGCTGATCTTAGTAAACAAATCCTCAACTCGTCCGAATGCTTCCTTTTAAAATTTAAAACTAATATTGCTTTACACATAAATGTTCTATAACACTGATATTCATTGCCATCTAGTAGTTGATTCTTATTATGTGTATTTGTTCTATTCAACTAATAATATAATCATACAGGGAAAAAAATCATCAGTCGCTCCGAAGTCGTATATGAAATCAAAACGATCGTTATTCATGAACTGTCCGGCTGGCTGATAAAATCCTCTTGATAGCCAACTGTACGGATTTTTTATGTGCAGGGAAGCCGGTGCTTGAGAGGAAAGGTGTTGTTGGAATGTAAGATGAAAAAATTACGAGCTGTCAGTTTCCAAATTTCATATTAAATTCTTTCACCCTAGACCAACCAAACATTCAGTTCTATTCTGTAATAAGTGAAAAACAGATAAATATTGCTCTTTCAGATTACATCAGTAAAAGTGATATAAGACATATCCATCTACTACATGTAGATGGTAACAAGTCTTGACATTTTATAGCTGTCGTTAATTAATGGAGGTGATATTGTAAGCATGGCTTTCATATTTCTTAATTTATTAGCTGGCTTAAATGAAATAAAATTCAGTTGATAGTGAAAGTAGAATGAAAAAGAAAGTCAGTTTTGGTGGCACAAAGCAGAGGTAAATCTAAAATCTACTTTTGTGCTTGAATTATTAAGTGACTGAACTGCATAGTTGAATGGCAGAATTGGTAAACTCAAATGATTGTTAGTAATTTGCTAATTATGTTGAAGATATGCATTACATTTGTTTTCCACCATAAACAAACCATTGCAGAAAAATAGGTATAAGATTTGTACTATATATTTAGAGTGGTAACCAATATCAGCAGTATACTATAAATATTTATATGATATATATATGTGTGTGTGTGTGTGTGTGTGTGTGTGTGTGTGTGTGTGTGTGTGTGTGTGTGTGTGTGTGTGTGTGTGTGTCTATATATATATATATATATATATATATAATATATATATATATATATATATATATATATATGTATATATATATATATATATATATATATATATTATATATATATATATATATATATATATATATATATATATATATATATATATATATATATATATATATATATATATGTATATATATACACTGTTCAGAACGTGTTTGGGAGAAAAAAATCAATGCAATATAAAATGTTACTAAAAGGGATACTAACTAAAATAAAAAAATTATGGGATATCCATGGCCTTCCTTGACCATTTGAAGTCACTTTGGAAGTGAATCAGCTAGATGCTGTAGATATGTAGGCTTGATATTGTTCCAGATGTCCTGAATAGTGGCTTGAAGGCGCATGATGGATGATGTGTCTCTGTCCTTTAAATGGTTCTTGATGTATACCTAGAGGTTCTCTTTGGAAATTGAGTCCAATGTTAATTCACAAAATTCATACCAGTTCACTACTTATTTTATGGTTTGACATGGCAACCCTTGCTGCATGTAAATGTCAGCCTACCATTTTGACAGGCAATCTTCAAGTTCGTCCAGGATCAGTTCAAAATAGTAGCACAGGTTCAAACAAATGCTCTTGGGTTAAATAACTCATTTTCAAACCCAATGATAATGAAAAATAACCCCAAATGATGAGTGAGTTGGGGTTTTTAAGTTTGCATCTTATGTAACGTGGGTGTGGGGTCACTACCAAGGCGGTGATACACTCTCCCTCTCTGGTTGTCCGTCATCTCAAAGACTGCCTCATCAGAACACAACACTGACTGCCACTCAGTATGATCCTAATCTTTTTATTGAAATACAGAAGCCAGTCTTTTAATGCACTGAATATGTGTTACCCATGATTTATGCATACTCCTGCAACTACGGTATTTTGGGCTTTTTTACAAATATTCTCATACTGTATGTTCAACTGCTCCTGCAGGGAACTGCGGATTTCTTTTCTGATTTTCCCAGCTTGTGATGATAGTTTGGACCCTTATCTGTTTATGAATGATATTTAAAGGCCTCTACCTAATTTTATACTTAGGCCCTGATGGCTTGTGTGGGGATGGAGAGGTCAAGGGATCCAGTGGTACAATATTTTTTGGTCCAGTGTTGAACACTTCTTAGTGGCAGTCCTATGTTTGTTGCTATTTCTTGGTTTGAATTGTTAGAACAATCTGAGCTTCACTCAGTAGCTTTCTTAGTCCCATAATGGGTGGAAAATGAGGCGGAAGTGAGAATGGGTGGCAGTGAAAATGAGGTACAAATCAGGGTGCTAAGTAAACAAAAAACTGATATGGTAATGACAGAAATTCGCTGTGGTTGAAGACATCCCAATTTCTATGCTTTCTGCCACTGCCAGCAGAGTATATATATATGTATTTATTTATACATATATATATGTATATATATTTATATATACATATATATATGTAGATATATTTATATATATATATATATTGTAATGGTTATATGACATAGTGGTACATATTTTGATTCATGTCTTTGAAAAATTATTTTGAATTTTAATTTACTGAATTATTTTCATGCTTTCTCTGAAAAGTACAGGAAAGTTGCAGTTGCACACTGCTGCCTCATGCAGAGATATAGCTCGCCAGATTGTTTTTTCCCCCAAAAAAGAACGAAAATGCATGGCATTCTTTGACACAGGCCATTGTGGTAGTTTAGCCCCTCCCCTCCTGGGTGCAACATGTTAATATGACAGTTTGCTCTTGAATTTAAGCAGAAAGGAAGGTTGGAACAATTGTATGTTAATTCAACAAAACTGAATTTGCAACTAAAGTACAGTATATTATTTTCAGATGAATGTCCCTTTTAACCAGATTATTGTAAACTGATATGCAAAAGAAAAAAGATGAAGTACTGTAGCACAAGAGGAAAGGAGAAAGGATTGTCATTCAAGGATGTTTTGTTTTCAGGTATGTATATTGTAATTATATTTATACTAAATTTGGAAGATGTGACACATGTGCCAGAGTGAAATAATGGCAGTTTAACATACAACTACATTTTATTTGTGTGTATATATTATTGTTATATTCTTTTCATCTGTTTTAGAATTTTTAGTTACATATATATTCTTTCCATTATTATCTTTTATAAGACATTAATCAGGTCAACTATTTATGTACAGCATTATTATTACCAATCATTTTACCATCTTTACTTCTCTTTTTTTGTCACCCATACGTGAATTAGTGATTGTTTGGCAAAGGCATTTATAAAGATGTGACTACTTAGTATAAACTTTGTTATAATGACAGACCTTTAAAATGTTGTTATGGTGACAGACACCCTTGAACTTCCTCCTCTGTACCTCCTACCAAATGTTAATCAGGATTTTAGCAATTACCTTAGGGCTGCACATGTAAATGAATTAATCCTTCGTACTGTTACCAAACAAGAACTATTAATTGTTGTCATATAGCTAAAAGACTAAAAGCCCTGCATTTCTAATCAAACATGTAATTACACAATTATTCAAGTGATTCTGTTTTGCAATTGTTTCTTTATGCCTAGAACATTCCCAAGTTTATTAAAAACTGTAAGTGTTTTACCTCTCTTCAAATCTGGCGATAAGAATGTAGTCAGTAGTCACAGCTTCATTTCCATCTTATCTGCAATCAGTGAAATTATATGTTTTTGCCACGGAAATATCTGCACCTCAGTTTGGATTTCATCTAGGCAAGTCAATAGATACTGCTGGTAATAAATTCAAGTTGTATTCTAAATTAAATGGTCAATAACAGATTCACAGTTGGTATTCTTCTGGATGTCTCAAAAACTTTCAAAACTATAAATTGTCGCATTGTATCGGCAAAACTAGAGGACTATCACTTCCATGATTCAATTCCTACCTGAGCAGCAAAAAGCAATTGGTCATTCTTGGGTGACTTCGTATTGTGTCATGGCTAGACCATCCCTCACCCTGGGATAACGTCTTGATTTCTTGCAGTTGTTTTTTCATTTGGCCCTGGCTACAGTCACTGAAGAGAAATAGCCCCTCAGATGTACATAAAGCTTCTTTTTAGTCTTATTACCTAAACAACCATTTATGCTATAGCAAAGAACATAGAGAGCGAGGTGAATTTATGTGTCCTGTACAGTAAATTCCCATTATGAGTTAGTTAATGATAACAAGTCATCACTATTGTCAAGAAGTTCCGGTTTACCCCAAGGATCTGTTTGATGACCACTGCTTTTTCTTCTTTATATCAATGACATAGCCAACTCCAGTACACTACTCAGCTTGTATATTAATTGCTGATGATAGTATTTGCCAGCCATTTCAATCCCATTTATATAATAAACCTAACTACCCTGGAACTTAATTTAAAAAAAAATGGATTCAGTTCATGCAAATAGGACCATGCTCACCTTTAAGAAAACTCAATGCATTTCATAGGCCCAGGATGGAAACTACATTCCATTTTTAAGAGACTAGGACTAGAATAAGAACTAGAATGAATGTAAACTACAAACTATTATGTACATCACCCATATGAAAAATGGATCACTCTGTTTTGTTTGCACCCAAAAATATGGTCTTCAAAAGCTATTTCAAGAAACCCTCAATTGATTTGTTGATTTCTTTTATATAACCATTTTATTCTGTACAAGTCCATGTCAATCATCAACTTTGAAATTAACACCTGTTTCGACTTTCTAGGGTATGCCAAAGATGGTGGTCTCTATATGCCTGAAGTCATCCCAAAACTGAATGAAACAGAGGTAAAAGAATGGTCAACACATTCTTATCCAGAGCTTGTGTATCTTATTTCACGCAAGTTCATTTCGGAGGAAGAAATTCCCTCGCATGCTTTGAAAGGTAAACCAGCAGTAATCTGCTTGATTTCAAATGAATTTTAACTTTTCATTTTCAGACTGATAACCTTTTGGGTAAATGTTCTTTTTCTCAAAAACTATTACTCCTGCATGATAGAACTAACAGATTATTGATTTGGTGTTTAGCCCAGTTACTTACAATTGTAAACAATTTCCATCTTTTTATTTTGAAATTTTAATGTAATACAGTTGAATTCAGCTCAGACATACAGCTGATGTAGTTTAATAATTTTGCTTATTATAATCATGACTTGAAAATACTATTCCTTCTATGATAAAGAAATGTCTAGAAATTGACTCCAACCTTTTACAGATATCATAAATGGAAGCTTAAAGAGATTCCGTACACCAAAGATCATCGAGATAGAAAGGTTAGAAGGAGGCCTAAACATTGTGGAACTCTTTCATGGGACAACCCTAGCCTTCAAAGACTTGGCTCTCTCTGTTGTAGGAGGATTACTTGACTTCTTCTTGAAGGAAAACAGTGAACATGTCACTGTTCTGATAGGTTAGTCTTGAAATTTAAGGTTACTAATAAAGATAAAAACCAGCTGAATCTTAGCAATATGAAATAGGTATGCCAGTTCAGTGCTTTCCACATTTGCTCATTTGTGTATATGTAGTGAAACTTTAAAGTTGGGAGGTTTGTTTGGCATTTATACTCTGACATTTTGTATTCAAAATTAAATTATGATGGAACCGTAGGAACTTCAGGTGACACAGGCAGTGCAGCCATAGAGAGTGTGAGAGGAAGAGAGTCCATTGATATTGTGGTTCTCCTTCCTCATGGTCGTTGCACTCACATTCAAGAGCTACAGATGACAACTGTGATAGAAGATAATGTACATGTTTACTGTGGTAAGAAGATGAGGAGTATTCTACTGTTTTGTTGATATGTGAATAGCTTTATTGTATGTTATCAGAATAACTGCTACACTAGTATTAGAGTTATTATTGTGGTGTGATGTATTTTTGAAAATTATTTTTCATATCTGTATAAACAAGAATGCCAACACAATAATATGCATACCAAGCAGAAATGGAAAACAGGTGCAGCAAGAAAGGAAAAATAATTCACATTGCACTAAACTCATACATGATCCTTTTCAAATGGGAGGGGGGGGGGAATGAAACAGACAACTCATTTTGTTTTTTGCATCATCTGAGGAGGAATCCCATGTTTATTTGAAGCATCAAAATTTATTATTTTCTTCTGCTTGTTACAGTATATCATCTTATATGAATATTGTATTAAAAGACTTCACAAGAGCATCAATATATATCTTTTTGAATATGTTTATTTTTTCACTTTCTTAAATGATTAATCATTAATTCCAGTTGATGGCACATCTGACGAGTTGGATGAGCCAATCAAACGTTGTTTTGCTGACGAGGAATTTGTTGCTAAGCACCGATTGATATCCATTAACTCTATCAACTGGGGCCGTATCATGGCTCAGGTTGCTCACTACTTCTACACATATTATCAACTCTGCTCCTTTGTAGGCCAGCCTCTGAAGGTTGTAGTGCCCACAGGTGCAGCTGGCAATATAACTGGTAAGTTATTCTCTGAGCATTCGTAGATTAGATAGGGAGATTTAATAACTAGTGGCAGTAAAGTCTAACACATGAAATGAGTAAGCCCTGTGCTGAGCAATAATACACACACACACACACACACACACACATATATATATATATATATAATATATAGTATATTATATTATATAGTATAATATATATATATATAATATATATAGATATATATATGTAGTAATAGTATATATGTAGTATATATATGGAGTATGAATATTAGTATATATATAGATGATAGGAATATGATAGGGAGAAGAGAGAGATCGATATAGAGAGAGATATTGATAGATGAATCGAGAGAGAGATAAGTATGAAGATATATGAGAGTAGAGATATATAGAGACGTATGGTGATAAGATGGTGTATAGAGAGAAATAATACTAATAGGTAAGAGAGTGAAGGTAGTAGAGAGAGAATATAAGAAGAGATGAAGAGAGAGTATAATGATGAAGATTATATTAGAGAGTAGTAAGAGAGATATTATATAGAGAGGAGTAGATATGAGTAGGTAATGTAAGAGACTGGAGATCTTTATACTATATATATATATACCCCCTATATATATATATAATATATATAATATAATATATAGTATGTCACCCCCACTATAAGGTTATATATGTGTGTGGTGGTTTATATATATATTGATATATAGAAAT